TTCATGTTTCAGATGAGAGCCTGTTCCTCTTGCACAGGTGCAATTCTTTAGGGGCATAAATAATTAATCAGTTTGTGTTTTGTAACACGCTGGCGGCTGGATGCTATTTGCTGTGTCAGCAAGATGTGGTACCAGCCCTTAAAGTGGAGAGATTGGAGTCTAAGCCTTGCTTCATGAACAGAGTATCCCTGAGGAAGGCGCGGTCTGAAGCCACTGCTCTTACCCTAATGAGTAACCCAAGCCGGTAGCAGAGACGGAAGCAACCCAGGGCATCTGTGACTACGGAACATCATGCAGAGTGAGGCAGCTTTGGAAGCAGACTGTGGCATTCTCAAGAACAGGCACTTGGTGAGAGTAAGCCTAACTGTAGACTGGGTGTCCATGATGGTGTAGGCCAGCCAAAGGCCACAATTCCTCTGCCAACACTCAGTAAGGTCAGGCTCTCCCTATTAAGGTCTTGTGGAGTGGCTTTGGTCAGCACTAGGGTTTCCTGTGTTAGTCTAGGCAGGGGTTATTATGGAGTAAGCCCAGAATGGATGTTAGTTTAGACTGACTATATGGGTCAGGAGGTAGGCCTGAGCGAGGACAGACAGGAGGATGCCCTGAGGTTTACCTGTTGACTCATTATCTCTCTTTGGCCTCAGTTTCCCCACCCACTTAAGGAGTGGACATTTAAGCTCTGGGAGTTGCTCCAGACAGACGTGGGGATTTCTGGATAGAGGATTCTGTCCTATGCCTGCTTCCCCCACATAGGGGCCCCTGTGCCCAAATGGGCGCCTGGCCTCCTTCCCAGAGGAAATGGGCTAATGTATGCCACCCAGGGCCTTCAAAACTAGGGCATAAGCTGCGAGCTCTGGCAGGCGTGGGAGAGCCCCTCAGGAGGAGCTAGAGACAAACCGGAAGTGAGGAGGCAGCCGAGAGTCCTCATCTCTTTCTATCAGAGGTAGAAAGTAGCTGGCTAGGAGTGGGAGTCATGAGTAGCCAATCAATGGGCTCCATAGATGGCTGGAGTCAAGGGTCAGTGGGAACAGGAGGCAGGTTACCTCAGGTACAGCCCTATCTTCAGCCCATCTGAACAGTCCTGAACCCCAGCAGGACCACTACAAACTCAGCCCTTGCCTCTTGCTGTGTCCCACACAGGAAGAAAGTCAAGTTTGCAAGGACACACACAGGGAAACTTGGGAGGTGGGGCCAGACAATGAGGGTTCAGTAGCAGGAACCCAACAAGCTTGTCACTGTGAATGTGTCTTAGACCTTAAACATCAGAAAACAGAACTGCAGCTTGCTGCACTGCAATTTGAGCAAGAACCGGCCCCAGCCTCATTGTGGGCGTGTAGAGCAGTGAGATGCGCCTCTGGTGGGGTAAATACAGCAAGCACACACATGTCTTCGCTGAAGGGACAGGTGGGTACCAACTCACTATGTGGGCAATGGTAAGAAGTGTCTTGCCTTTGAAAAAGGTATGTCCCCATGGTGGAGAGACAGGAGAAACTCTATGATGCTAGCCTGGGAGAGAGATGGCACCAGCCCCGATTCACTGCTTTCTGTCTTGGGCTCTCCAGAACAGGTTCCTGACACAGAGGCACCTTGGAGTAAGCTCCTTGAGGCAAAAGAAAAACTTGGGCCTCGGGCTGTGATGCTTCTCAAGACAATGTGTGTCTGTCACACCCTTAATGGTGGCAGGCAGAAGCAAGTTGGCTCCCAACAGGTCCTCCCAAGCAGGCCCTAAAAGCCTAGAGCCTGTGGTCCTGCTCTGGGTCCCAGTCCCAGGCCAGGGCAATGTAACTGGGGTTCTTCAGATACTCCTTCCTGTTCTGTGGATCTGCTAATCTCATCCTGTGTCAGAAAACCCAGCCTTAGTTCTCCAGGGAAGTGGGAAGGGGAAAAGGGACCTGAGAAAGGAAAATATGGAGAAGGAAAATATGGATGGACAAGCCTAAGTTTGATAGTCCTGGCCATTCATTTTCCCAGTAATATTTTTTCCATTCACCTTCCAAGCCCAGGGCAAATGGAACTTGCCTAACCCAGGAAATAAGAATGGCTGTAGAAATTCAGAGGAAGAAATATGTGTCACTTTGTGTGTGTTGGGGTGGGGATGACATAGGAATTTTCTGTTTATTGTCTATGGAAACAGATGTGGCGGTCATCCTGGGTGCCCAGGCGACTGGTAGTAGAGCCTCTTCCTCCACAGTGACTAGTTGGTTTCCTGAGGCCAGTGGGTGGCTGGTCACAGTCGCACAGCTGCTAAGCCTCCTCCTCTGGCTTGTGTAGTCCATTGCGACCAGCCCTGGGGTTGGTCCCTGAGTGTCCCTTGGCTCTAGTGAAGGGCACGTAGACAGTCTGAAGTGGGGTTGTCCGTGTCTTTGTAGCCTCTGGTTCCCTTGCTGTCCCTGCCCCAAGTCACCTTCACTGCCCAGGGTTCCCTGAGCCTTGTTGAACGAACCGCACCAACTGTCCCTTCCCATTTGGAGCCTCACTAGACTTTCTGCCCTGGGCTCATGCTGAGGATGGGGACACCTGGCAGAATAGGCTTAGAGACTCCAGCAGAGTAGACAAGGAAAGCATGCCTGCTGTCACCCTGGTCAAATCCCTCAGCCTGGAGGCTCGGCCCTCCCTGCTTTCCCCCTCCCTCTCCTATTCGCAGACCACGTGGTCCTCTCTTTTTTCCTATCCTTCCTTCTTCTTCCCCAGGACATCCACTCACATACAGACCTATGTGGCCACCCATCTTGAACTAATACCAGAGCCCCACCATACCCACTGTGAGAGAGGCACCCCAAGATTCACGGTGCCCTTGAAAATGGGAGTGGGGACTGGACCAGGCCACTGAAAGAGTCTGTACCTCAAGGGTGGGATGTAGGTCATCTGGACTCCAGGCTCCTTGCTCCATGGCAAAAGATCAGCAGGGCAGGGAGCCAGGACTAGGTTGGACAGGGTCTGGTCTGTCTTCCCTCTTGGGGTGGCTTCCTGACTCATCCCTAGCTGGGACTCAGCCCTGAGTCCAGAGAGGCAGGGCTCCTTCTCTCTGTGCCCAGAGCAGGTCTCTTTTACCTTCCTTGTGCATTTGAAAAGGTGTCCTTCATCTCTCAACATCTACAGGAGGCAGAGGCCCCATACCTGCTCCCCTGCTCCTCTGTGAATGTCCATCCTGTCACAGCCCTGACTCACTAAAGCCACCTTCTGTCCCATCATTGGATGAGAAACCATCTTGATACCAGAGAAAGGCCATGACCTTGAGAAATAACCAGAGACCTGTCGAACTGGATATACAGGATGAGCCCAAGGGGCCTCCTGAGCCCCTGTGACTGGCCCAGCTCAGTTCCAAACCTGAGACAGACAAAGCCCTCTCTGCCTCAGTATCCCTGCCCTACTGTGAGAGGACTAAGTGACCCATGATACCCAATGGGTAGGTATAGCCAGGGGCTGGTGAAGCACACAGTTGGGGGAGGTCAGGAAGAATGAGATGGACCCCTCTACCCCTCACCACACCCTATGTGGGGCCCTTTGCCTGTTTTGTGGAGTACAGAAACACAGAACCATGTCTCAAATCGCTTGTGTTTGGAAAGCCTGTCAATCACAGTGGCAACTTATTAAAAGGAAAACCATGTCTGGTCCCGGGTTCCTGGGAGCAATAGTGTGGGAGCAAGAGAAAGCGGCCTTTCTCTGCGGTGGCGCCCGCCTCTGCCTCTGCCACTTTCCCTCCCTCTTGTCAGCAGTTTCAGTATTTAAAAGAAATGAGGAGAGAAAGGGCAGAGGCAGCTTTTCATCTTCCCTGGCACTTGCGGCTCCTGCTGGCCCTGCAGAGGGTGACGACACTTCCTGGCAGCAGGTGGCTCCCTCCTTTCCATCTGTAACCTGCCTCCCAGGCCTCTGCTCTGAGTCTGGCAGGCTTTACCCTCCCCTAGGCAGGTGCTGTGCTGCCTCCAGGCACCAGCAGGTGCAGCTCTTCCCTGGCTGGACCAGGCCCGACTAGGCTGATGCCATTCCTGTCTTAAGCCTCGCTACCCTGCCCAGGGCTCCAGGAAGCAGAACCCCAGCAGATGGGGCAGTGGGCATTGGCAGATGACCATGACAGTTTGTGACAAACTACTGGGCCATTGGATCATTTAAACACACTCTAATTCTGAGGTACGCCAAAGGTGCCTCACAGGTATCGTGAAAGCTCAGAATGGGTGTGTGTGTGTGTGTGTGTGTGTGTGTGTGAGAGAGAGAGAGAGAGAGAGAGAGAGAGAGAGAGAGAGACATCTGAGAGAGAGAGAGAGAGAGATCTGAAAAGCCAATGGCAACCATAAGGTTTCTAGGCTAGTGAGAAGCACTATCCCATGGACACTAGAATTCCAGTTGTCCATGAACTTAATTAGACTAGGATGCTATGGCCTATCAGATAGTTCCTATCCACCATTCTCTCCCTGTCTCCTGCTGGCCCTACTCTCTGAGGTCTGGCTGGTAGGGGGTTTGAACCCCTTGTCTACCTCTCCTCCCTCTCAGTAACCTGACACTGTACAGAGGTGACCTTGAAAAGGTTATTTCCAAGGTCTTGAGCCCAGGCCTGGATACACTTAAGAGATGGTTTCTCATTTTGCAGATAAGATAACCGAAGGCACAGAGGGATGGCAGCGTCTTTGGACAGGGGATGACCCTGTCCCCGCACTCCAGGCTGAGCAGTCTGGATGAGCCTAGCTCTGGGGAAGAGATCCCTTGCAGCACATCTTTCATTCCAGTAGGGTGATTGAAGGGCCTGTTCCTGGCTCAGGGTTAACAAACCGTACTGGTCAGGAGCCAGGGCAGAGCCAGACCTCAAGGCCTTGGGGTTGGCCTCTGGAGACCCACTGAGGGCATTTCAGGCCAAGGGCTGCAGACTTGGAATTTTCTCTGTGGTCCAAAAGCAGTGTTTCCCACCTCTTTGAACAGTCACCATCAGTGACTCCTCTGAGGTCCTTCTTCAGCCCAGCCCACACCCTAGAGAAATGGCACACACTCCAAGAAATTTCATAGTTTTATTAACAAAATCTTATATTTATAGATATATATGTCTGTCTTCGAGGTAAGATGGTATGGGCAAATGGCCTGGCTGGATATTCAAGGCTTGGTGGGAATAGGGGATAGCCACACTCTCTTTGACAACTCCAGGGTCTCCCTAGTCCTCAGGACCTCTCTACACCCTATGCCAGCCAAATGAATATGGGTCATGGCTTATGTGCAAAAATAAACCTGTGGGAACTGGCAGGGGCACAGGGCAGAGGATCTCTCAGAATATCAGAACTGGTCACAGAACACCAGTGGACCGGGCAGACAGAGGAACTCCAACAAGGCCTACTCGGACTGCAGACACAAGCAGCTACCAGCACGAGGTGGTTGGTGCTGGGGCATGGAGAGGTTCATCTGGGCAACAGCAGGGAAGGTCAGTGAAGTGCCTGGAACAGCCCAGGAACCAAGGCCTGGGATCTCCTTGGTCTGGGCTTAGACCGACAGGCAGGGCACAGCAGGAAAGGACAGGCCTAGGCCAGCGCCCAAGCCTTAAGGATCCTGCAAGGTTCTGGCGAGGGCCAATGGCCACGCAGCGAGCTGGGCTCTGTGCTAAGAGGGCCAGGGCCAGGGGTGCAGGCAGACCCTGCTCAAGCTGCAGTGGCTCATGGCGGGCAGCTAGTGGCCAGCGGGTGGGCATTATGGCAGACCCTGACTTCACGCTGGCCTGTCTTCACCTCCAGCTCTCGGGCTGAGCTGGGGCGCTGCCCTCTGCCAGGCACCTCCTCTCTGTAATCATGTTTTCTCTGCCTTGAAAGTGTCTTGGAGCTTCTGTGTAGGCAGCTTCAAGAGAGGAGGGGATGGTGCTGGTGCTGTGGTGGTGCCCATTCCAGACATGGCAGGAAAGACTTCTCAGCAGCCTTGAGACCTGCAGGAGACAGCAAACAGCAGGCTGGTTAGAGGACTTCTCACCCCGAGATCTGGGAGCAAGAGTAGGTTACCCTGCTCCCAGCTGGTGCCCCTGGGGCCCAACGGGACTTCTCAGATAATCCAGAGATCTGGAGAGTGGGGCTTGATCGGGACAGGAGGCAAGACGCTCTTACCTGGTGTCATCCTCCTGGCTCTGATGGTTCCAGCTGCTGCCTCAGCTGGGTGTGAGGACTCAGCTCCTCTTGGACCCTCCGCCTGCCATGGCTGAGTCACGGAACTGAGCTCTGCTTTTTTTTTTTTTTTCCGCTGGTATGAATCACTGCTGAGGAGAGAAATCACAGGGTCCCTGTGAGCTGGCTTAGCAAACTCTCCCAGTGTTTCCCCCACCTCAGCCCCCTCGCTGGTCCATGGAGTCCCAGTGCCCACTACAATGGCACCCACCCTGAGGCCGCTGCACTCCATCCCTGTAGCTGATTTGCTAGGAAAGCCCTGAAGGCTTCCTGGAAAGTGGGCTTAGTTCTGGCCCCAACCCTTAAGATACATGGGGCAGGGCTCACCTGGGGGCCAGGAGGTGCCAGGATGCCAGGTCTGCTGCTTCAGCTGCATTTGCGGCTTCAGCTTACCCCAGGGAGGGGAGCTAGGCTGCCCAAGTCTGGCCAGTCGCTCTGAGAGGCAGCTGGGGTGTCAGCTGGGTCTGCTGTGTCTGCAGGAGCGGGCTGCATCCCCGGAAGTTGAAGTTCCCTCAGCACCTCTGATTCTGCTTTAGCATCTGCCCTGGGATGCCCCCGGGGTGTGGTGCCTACTGCTCTTTGCCTTCGGACACTTGGGTTTTCTGATTACCCAAAGGGTCCCCGGGCACTGGAGCAGAACAAGGAAGCCAAAGGTGTTCTGTGATGGTCTGAGAGTGTAGCGGGTGAGGGAGGCCAGTGGGGCTGGGGCCAGGGTCATGGTAGACAGGTGAGGGGCAGGTGGTGGGTGGGAGCCCTGTGGGAGACGGTCTTCTTGAGGTTCGATCCATGTAGCATGGCTGTGTGGCAGTTGTCTTGTGAGTCAGGCCAATGGGTGAGTAGATGTCTGGCTGGACAGAGCATCCCTTTGGGAGTCAGCCCCAGCTCAAGTCCTACTTGGCAAAAGCCACAGGCTGGGTGTGGCAGACAGGCTGGGGACCCTGGGGCTAGCCCCTCTATTCAGGCTGGGTCCGGTCACTGGCTACTGACTCGCTGGTGAGAGCAGGGGTGAGGGCCTCAGTCTCATCTTCCGTGGCCAGCGGGGTGCCAGAAGGCTCGGCTGCCTGCTCCAGGCCGTCCTGCACTTCCATGCCCCTCTGAATGAGCTGCTCAAGGGTCTTGGGGAGCGGGTGGCGCAGAAAGCGCTTGAGCTTGGGCTGCAGGGTGCCCACCACATACTGGATGATCTCCTCCTCGTCAGCGTCCACATACAGTGTCTGGTACAGGTCCCGCTTGCGCCAGAGGAACTGGTCAAGCGGCTCACCCTGCTTCTGCGGCAGGTCCAGCTCCCGCTGGATGGCTTCCCGGGAGAGAGTGCCCTCGCTGTACTGCAGAAACTCCTTCTTGAACTCCACCCAGTTCTTGACGGAGCCCTGCTTGAACTCCCACCACTTCTTGGCTGGCCCATTCATGTGGTTCTGGATCTGGGACAGCCAGTATTCTTCAGAGCCACCCACCTGCCGCAGGTACTCTTCCAGGTGCCTCAGGAACTCCCGTGGGTCCTCGAAGATCTGTGTATCCACCCCAGGGCTTGGCTGCCCATCTTCACCTGGCCCCCAAGACTGGTACTGCTGGGCCTCAACTGACTCCTGTTCAGGAAGCTCTCCCGCGGCAGGCGGCGGGGTGATGGCGTAGGGGCTAACAGTGTAGTCGTAGCCATCAGCTTCCTGGCAGTAGGGCTCTGGACCCCCCACACCTACAGAGACGGTGTGGCGAGCTGGCTCGCTACCCACCGGGTACTTGCCGCCCATGGACTCCAGGCGGTCGGCCCACCTCTCCAGACGGTAGAAGACCTCCCTCCACACGTGCATCTCACGCTTGACCCAGCGCTCCAGGTTGGCGATGGTCTCCTGGCAGCGGCACAGGCAGGCCTTGATGGACTTTTTCCAGCGCTGTGAGTCGCCGGTGGGCACATAGCCGTCCAAGTTGTTCTCCAGCTTGCCCACCGACCTGTGCAACCCTTTCAGCTCTCGCTCCACCTGCTTGGACACTTCGGTCAGCAGGTGCCGGTGGGTCCTCCGCACGTGCTCCAGCATCTCAGCTCGGCACTTACCAATCTGCAGGATCACATTGGGCTTGGCGGCCGGCCCACCCCGAGGGGCAGGGTAGGCGTGGAGGCCGCCGGTCGTCATATGGTCCAGCTCCATCTGCTCGTCGGTACTGCGGTTCCGGACAGGCTAAGAACTCCTCGGAGGCAGAAGCGGGAAGGAAGCAGAGCCGGCGGCTGCAGCGGGCGCGAAGCGGCGATGGCAAGTGCGCAGTGGTCCGCAGAGCTCAGCGAGTGTGGCAGGCGCTCTCCCGCTGAAGCTGCTGAGGCCCAGGGACCGCGGCTGCCGTAGGACTACTCGCCCGAGCACTGCGCTGGAGCCGCCAGCGGCGGCTTTTTATGCTGCGCGGGGCCCGTGGGCGGCAGCTCGCCGGGCCCTGGCTCCCATTGGCCGCGCCCAGGCTCCGCGCCAGCGCCCGCCCGCGCCCTCTCCTGCCGCAGGCCCCGCCTCCTCCGCGCCTACTCGCTTCTCTCCCGCGGTTGCCCGCAAGGACCCGCCCCTTCACATCCCGGGTGACTAATCTGCTCTGCTGCGCGCCTCCCACCGGGACAGGAGGGACCAAGGGGACCAGAGATACCCTCCTCTAATGAGGCTAAGGCAGGTTATTACCTGCTGTTTGCTCTCAGGGTCTCATGATCTCTTTTCCTGGGGAGCAGCACACCCCTCTGGATGGTTGGTGTGCCCACCCTGACCCTTGCCCAACCTGACCACACAGTATACAACCTCAGAAGAGCCTGGAAGGAACCTCTTCCTCCAGACCCATCCATCTTCAGCTGCCTTTGGTTAGTGGCGAGAGAGAGAGAGAGAGAGAGAGAGAGAGAGAGAGAGAGAGAGAGAACTCCTGCCAAACCTCACCCCAATAGTCTTAAGTCCAGGTTCTAGCCTGGTCCAACACTGTTAGGGAACTCCACTTGGGCAAGGTTTTTCTGGGCCCCTGCGTTGGTGTGTTTGTGAAGACTGAGTGACCCTGTCGGTACACCAGTGGCTGAACAGGACTGCAGTGCCCCGAAGTGGATGTATCACTTGAGCCTGCCCAGACACTGGGCTAAGGAATAGGGGTAGCGGCAGGTGCGGGTAACATTGCTGAACCCTGAACCCCCAGGACACGGCTAGAACTGGGCCAGAAGCTTCAAGACTTCTAAGAGGTTAGACTGGAGGAAGGAGGGCGGGAGCAGGAGGAGGAAGGGAAGAGGAACAGGAGCTGGCAGAGGAAAGCGAGATACCATATAAGGAATGGGGCTCCGGAAGCTGAGATTCCCTCTAGAGGGAGGCCCTTCCGATTCCCTGGCAACAGCGCTGTGGTGCAGTGGGGGAGGGCATCCTTCTCGGCTTACTCCAGTCTGGATACATGGGTCTGGGTCTCCTGTGCTCTGATGTTACCCGGGGACATATCACTGCCCACAACAGAAGAAGCCTGCAGGGGCCCACAGACACATGGTGGGCAAGAACCT